ACTGTATCAACTGTCATCACAATCAAATTGTGACCTGACTTGGGCAAATCATAATTTAAAATTCCTAGTCCAATAGAGGTTCTCGGAGTCAAAACTCTTCTATTTCTTGTTGTTCAGCCCGCTACCAAATGGGTTTCATTTGTGGCATCTGTTAACGAGTTACCGTTTAACATTTCTCCTAACTGTTGTCTCCACCTCACAAATAAACACAAACCCGGAGGTAGAATTGCTTACTCTTCACGTCTAATTAGGAATCATAATCCTTTGTAACTCATAGGCTGTATATATTGCATAATATTTTTTTCCTAAATAAAATTTAGTACGACTCTAAAATTGTTTGTACATACTATAGATAAACATTAACTATTACATCAGAATACATAAACACGCACACACACACACAAAAGGAAAGTAGTGTTGCACAAGCATAGTGTTGCGCTATAATTAGCCGAACACAGTTTATTAATCTATTATAGCGTGATAGGATGAGATAACATTCATTAACCAACCTTAACCGGCGTTTACTAACAGGGATCGGGATTGAGATAAATCCTATGTGACATGTATGTGGCAGGTAGGCACACACATGTATTCATGAATAACATGATAATTCCATCACAAAAATGACTTTTTTGTCCAAAAAAAATCACATGTATAATGTTCATTAGACCCTCATATGTCCAAATAATTACAAATTTAGTAAAGCTAACTCAAGGGATTAAATCATCCCTTCAAGTAAACTAGGCTTTAGGGTAAAAGATCAAACAACATTTGGGATGACATTAGTTGGTATATGATTCAAGATAAAATAGAAACATAACGCTTGGTGAAGACAAACATCAGATTGAGATCACTCAACCACAACACATAATCTACACTGGTTTGGCCTTAATAAACACAACAAGAGGAGATGCTACAGTCCCATTACGGAACAATTCCGTCGAGATTTGTAACCGTTAGATCATCATGTAACCGTTACAAACTCCGACAGAATGGTTTCGTAACAGGACCGTAGCATTTCACCACAACAAGTCTATCACCCGTACCTCTGTACGTGATTGCCTATTCCACTACGAATTATGTTCCCTATTTCATCCTTTTAGCTTCCATCAACAGCATGCGCCATATATATAATATACATATATCAGCAATCAAGATCCAGTGTTTTATCACAAACACTCACAAATAAATCCAGGACAGAACAAGAAGAGGTGTAAAATATTGATTTCCTACGCATCGGAATGGAGACAGTTACGAATAGTCGCCACCACATCTTCCGCGGAGCCACTGAATTCTTCTTTCGTCACCTAAATAAACAACATATTCGAAAAAAAAAATCATTCAAAAGTATTTTAAATTATGCATATGATATACACAACCACCACCTATCAAAACTAGCTAATAATATCATCACGTTTCAGTTCATTAGCATTCACCTCAGCCGTAATGGTAATGTCGAGGACCAAAGGCCCAAACGGCACGACGCTAGCGCTGATTACATCGAGATTGAGCTTATCGAGTTCCGTTAGCAACTTGACCAAAACGCCCTTGCGTTTTTCGCACTGCAGTTTGAGGAGGACGTTCGTACGATTAACTTTGGCTCGGATTTCGAGCAACCTTTGATCGCCGTCCGATTCGCCGCATTTCTCCTCGGACAATTCATATTGTTCTTTGCTCGAGGCCTCGTTCGTTTGCTTCTCCTCGGCTGGCTCCTCGAGTTTCTTCAGTCTCTGGTCGAGTTCTTGCATTTGCTCTATTGCAGTCACTAAAGAAACACAATTTTCGCCCATTTTTTTTTGTTAGAGTAGAAGTAATAAATGAAATAAGAAGACAGAGTATTCAGTTCATTTCCCTTTGTTTTTATCTTTATAGTGCGATGTGCTGACAAAGGACGAATGTTGGTGTGCCCCGAGTGTGAGGGCACCATTTGAAGCCACTGAAAATTTCAAAATCCACAATAGAAAAGTCATCATTTATCGGATGCACAACAAGTCCAAAACAATTATCACACTATGTTATCTTATATGTATGGAAATGTTACGGTCCCGTTACGAAATCATTCCGTCAGGGTCTGTAACCGTTAGACACTTTATCCCCGACGGTTACCTGATGATGTAACGGTTGTAAACTCCGACGGAATGATTCCGTAACGAGACTGTAACACCTCGGTGTTATAATTTCGATTTTATCTAAATATATCTCCGTGACAGAAAAAAAACAAATTAAAAATAAAAATAAAAATAGGAAATAAACAAATAAATAAAATTTGTAGCCTAATAAAAGACAATATATCAGACGGGTCCAATCCAAGTCTGTCCAAGGACTAATGAGGACAAACAATACATTTATTGCCCAACAATTTTCTGTCATGTGGAGAGATACATCATACATGTGGACTATCTTCCCTATTCGTGAGCTTCACAGCCCAAAAATGGTCCTCACAATCAAGATTTGACTATTCTTTTTATTTATTTATTTTTTTCCCATAGTCCACCCTTAATTAGTCCAAAGTTTCAATTTTTTTCTCCCTTTAAAAAAAATAGTCCATTAAAATCGAGTTTTCTTACGTGGAAACGCTAATCCCGACATTTGCGATTAGCTGCTTACATGACGTAATAAAATTTGAGCACTGCGTACGTGATTGGCAAAACAGTATCCCAACAATTTGGCCCGATGTGTTATAAACAAATTGAAGTATAATTGGACCGAGCCATGCCATTTTTCAAAGCCAAGACACGTTCAACCAAATACAATAAACACATAAATATAATAACAAATGGTGTGATATCATTCCCATAATGCCCAACCAAACACACCATACAATAAACACATAAATATAATAACAAATGGTGCGATATCATTCTCGTAATGCCCAACCAAACACACCCATAGTCTATAAATTTTTGACCTAGAATTTGAACAGGAAGATACAACAAAAAATTCAATCCACCAGGCCACAAATAAAACATGCAAATCCTATTATCCATCTACAATTTATTCTATCTCGGAAATTCAAATATAACAATCTTATGTTGAGTCAACAACTCACATGAATCACAAGCCCAATCAACAGTAACATTTACTTGTTGTTCCCACTAGAGTCGGAACACGAAAATGTAAAATATC